ACGGGGCAGCTGTACTGGACCGCTGTGTGCTGACGGGGCAGCTGTACTGGACCGCTGTATGCTGCATGTGCACGCGCACCGCTGGCGGCGTTGGCAGGGCAAGGTTACTTTCACGAAGTCATTGTAGCCCTACGGCATGATATGATATGCTGGCTTCCCTGAACTACGTGCTAATTTTACATCATGGCATTTGTGCGACAAACGTGGAAACCACCATCCCAAAGTGAAATAACAATGCTAATGCAGGGATATGCTCCATGTTTGGCAAATGTCCATACACAACGTTACTGCACTAGAGTGCATACAATCACATCGTACAAATGAGGCGAATGGTTGGGTTCACTTCACTGGGCCACTAAGAATGTTGGCTTCAGCTCGTCGTCAACCAGCCACTTACATCCCTAACAGTGACTGTGCCTTCACTGCGAGTGAGGCACTTCTCAGAACAGAGGTACTGGGAGTTATCTTTGTGGAGGCTTAACGCATGTTACTGGCACCCTCCGGACACGCCCACGATTGTCGAGAAAAACTAGGATTCGGTTTCGGCGACATTCGCCAGTGGTGTATCCGTTGGCAGGGACGAGTTTCACGTCCCAGCGACACTGCGGCTCCGAGGCAAGAATGTAATCGCGAGCCTTGGTTCCCGTCATCCCCACCACCTCGGGCCAACGGAGCTTGCTGCGAACATTCACGAAAACGGCGAAGAGAAAAAGGATAAGGAATGCGACTTGAGGACCCATGGGGAGAAGTCGGGAGGTGATAGAAGAGGAGAGGGACCGGCTGTGACGTTGGGAGAGGAGAGGAACAATCGATTGGATTTCTTGTGGAAGGACGGGGAGGGAAAGTGAGCGGAGGGTTGGAGAGAGGGAAGGGGTTTGGTGGAAGAAGGGAGCCGGAGGGTTGATTTTTGAGAGATGCGAAAAGACAAGTTGTCACTTTGAAAACACACCTGCAAGCAGACGGCGCCGGAATCAGTCGTGCGGCGTTTATCGTGGGTGGGAGAACACTGACGACGAGCAGCAGCAGAACCGCGAGGAGAAAGCCATGTCGAAATGTCGTCATGGCTGCTGATTTGCGCTGCTACTGAAAAGTTCTTGACTCAACGACCTGATGCTCAGATTAGAGGCGAAACGTAGGAATTTATCTACTAAACGTTCTAAAACGACCTCGTCTCAATGCGAACCTGTTTGATAGGCCGCAAGATAGGGACAATGACAATGACAAGAGTTTTGCTAGGACTAAACGGCCCTGGATGTGGGACTTCTGAAGCAACAGCGACAATATAACAGTGTAGACTCATGATCGCGCCTAGTTGGAGCTGAAGATAAACGCTATCATGGTGCCGTATTTTTTTGTCAGCCCGATTCTGCACAGAAAAGACGGCTGACACCGCGGTCGGGGAGGAAAGGCCATCCACACGAATCGTGCATTCACCAAGGCGTTGCTTTGCACTCCTTCCTCGTGCGTGACGTGTACAGTAGGACAGCCAAAGGCAGGCAAATTGACTCGGGTGACATGGTTGTGACTCGTACGTCATCGTGAGGGCCGCTAAGATTGGAAGAAATATTATATCTCAACGACTGAACCCCATTGGTCGGAAGTTTTCTCAAGAAGGAAAGGGAGCCACATATTTACATACAATCCCGAAACGACGGGGCCTGTGATAGGTTCTGGAAATCCACGGAATCGGCGGAAGAGGAGGAGAACTCGGAGCTAGCACAGGCTGTTGATACGTTCGGCACCACACAGACGAATCCAGACAGTAGAGCACCGCCGCAAATCAAATGGAACGCACATGATTTTCCAGATTCATGCCGCATTCAAAAGTTTTCCTACCATCCGAAGTCTTCCCACGCGGCTTGAAATGTTGAATTTAAAATTAATTCACATTTCATTATTTGCCCACGCGGTTTGACTTCGGCCCAAACGGCTATGTTCGCATTTCTCTGCCTGCACGTCAGTGTACGACGTCATTGATCGTGCCACGATTGGTGGTTTGTGGGGTTGTGCTGTCGGAAAGCCTGGTTACGTGGTAGTTGCTGTCGAAAAATCTTGACTGGCGCGACCGTCAGACATGGCCATTAGTTGATTGGTTTACGAATTTTATTGCACCTTCAGCGTGCGATTTTTCGGGAGGATTCTATTGGAGGCGAAGTGGATTTGACTGTACACCTGTCATGCGAACCGGGCGACCTCTGTCGCCCGGCAAAATAAGGCTTGGTGTCCAAATGGGGTCCTGCCCCACATGGACACCATCAGCATCGGAAAAGTTGTGATGGTGGGCAGATTTCGATGGTGTCCCAACTTGAGAATCCGGTCTCATGGGAGCCCTGGTCTTCATCGCTGAAGCCGTCCTTCACACATGTTCACGAAGGCTTGCGAACGCCAATGGTTGGAGACGTAACATATTTCGCTGTTATGTCGAGAATATCGTGAAAACAGATGTTCGTGTTGGTTTCTTGGGCAACCACGAGAGAGGCCAACTGTAGGGCGCGTACGGTAATGTACGGACCCGTGCGACTTGTGACGCAATGCGATCCGTACGACGTCAAATAAACCCTGACGAACTAGCCAACGATTTTTGGCGACATCCACCACACATGAATGCCGTACCGTCCCTTGTCTGGACCAGCTCTGCAAAATGATTACCAACGCGCTCTTACCAGTTTCTACTCGCCCTTCCCTTCTGCGAGTCAGCACGGGCAGCGACATCCCCGAGTCCCGCTTTTATCGCAGCCCCTAATCCGTTCCTTCGTCAGATGTACGGGCGAAGAAAGGTTGAGGCCGTGAACAGTGATATACGTGGTAACGTAGTTGCGCAGTAAGGTAATCCGAAAATCTTTCCTATCAGTCTACACTAGGCTTGGGCATTGACCCGAGTCGGGTCGGGTAACCCGACCCGACCCGACCATTTTGACGGGTCGAGTATTTAGTCAAGTTTGGACTACCCGCACGGGTCGGGTAGGACTACTCGCCTCGGGTTTTGAATACCCGCTACCCGACCCGTGTATTTTGGGTCGGGTTTTTGATACCCGACGGGGCGGGTATACCCGACCCGTGCTCGGGCCATTTACCCGTGGGTGGCTCGGGTTACGCTAACCCCTCGCGCTGTGCACAGGGTTACAGGCTGGAAAAGTCGACCTAGTTCCGACAAGATCACATCACTGAACAGATCCTATCCAGATTCCAGATTCCATCCATCCATCCAACTTTCAATCAACTCTCTCTCGTCACTCACTCACTCATTAGGTTTTCCCAGGACAGAGCCCGACTTAATAGCAAGCAAAGCAACAACTACTAGTGGAAGTGTAATGTCTCGAGCTTGGTGCCTTTTGGTGCGAAAAAGGCTCTCATAGTCGCTTAGCGTTTTTTGTAAGAATCGCCTACAGAGTCGTTTACAGCTAGTAATAGAAGGATTTTACATCATTGCCCATTGAAGTGTTTAATTGGTCCCGCGTCGCCACCCCACGTCTGCTCCAGATTTCCATCCCCTAAGGCAGCATTAAACGCAAGGTCCCAGCCAGGCTTGCTCTACTCTTCTAGGCGCATTACAGTGGTACTAAAGGCGCATCGGCGTGGTGTTAGCGGCCTCGCTACCACGCTCCGTAAAGCACACTTCAACGCGCACCCGTGGCGTCATGCTCGGCAGTGCTACGCCGGCGGCCGTCGGATCTGGAGGGGCGGATGCTGCGGCGATCTCTGAGGGGAACGGCTCTGGGTGGGTAAATATTCCCCTACAACCCATGGTTTCAGGGCAACCGCCCGTTGAAGAAGACGTCGACGGTGCATACGTGCCTACGGCGGAGGAGGTGGCAGCTGCAGCAGCGGATTCGGCTGGCGAGAACGAGGTGGAGGTGGAGGTGCAGGTGGAGCAGGAGGGGGTCGGGGAAACTAGTGTAGGACGCGGTGGAGGAAGGAGTGCACGGGGACGAGGTCGGGGTCGGGGACGGACTGGCCGGGTGCAGGGTCGTTCAAGCGAAGGAGCAACTGCCGTCCACGGTGAGAATCGCGCCGGCGGTACCTCGAGAGGTGGACGAGGAGGTGGGCGGGTTGGTAGTGCTGCACAAGGGGGTGGCGACGGTAGAGCGGAGGGTTCAGCCCCAGTAGAGGCAGGCCCGTCACGTGGCAGCGCACAGTGCAACGATGGGGGTGGGGGGACGCCGGTGCGAGCTGCTGGCACCAGTCGGGGCGGAGGGACGTCGGGCGGCAGGCCGCGTAGGACGAAGCGTCCGAGGGAGGTGACGCCGACGGATCCGGTTGTCGAGGAGTTGGCTGGAAAATCCTACCCGGGGTTACTTGTGGGAATGTTTGGCGATATGGTCGATGATTGCCGTGCGTGTCGTAAATGTGGGGACTTGCTTGCTTGGGGTTCGGGTAACACTAGTGCAGGGTGGAGGCACGTGAAACGTAAACATTACCCTAACTTGCAGATTTGGGTTCGTCAGTTCTTGGATCCGGCGAAGCCTGGAGATCTGCAATTCCCTCTTGGGGGTTACGGTAGGGATGGGAAGGGCCCAGTCGTGCCCGATGGGGATGGAGCATGGGAACACGCGGCAAGCTGGCCGAACATCCCAGCCACGGCTATGGTCGGAACCGCGGAGGGGGTGGGGGGGGGGGGGGATGGTGGGATTCGTGCTGCCAGCATGTCCGCATACATCACCCCCCGGGTGCAGGAGGACGAGTTGCGCTCTGCACTGGTGGAGTTGTTCGCCGACGCCGATCTGCCATTCCGCCTTGTTGATCGGCCATCAGTGAGTGTTTGTTCGGCTGCAGTATCGCATTGTGCATGTCACCGTCAGTACATACGAGTTGCACATCCTTTACTCGTGCTATACATTGCTGTCCACTCGATTACCATCCCTGAAATCCATGTCACTCTCGTTTCAAGGTGTCGTGTGGCCGTTGTCTATTCCATCCCCCGACAGTTCCGTCGGTTCGTCAAACTGCTGAACCCTGGGGCCGAGAGGTTGCTAGGTACGCGGTATCGATTGGCACGGGACATGCAGGCATACGCAGATGCCGCTAGGGCAGAGTTGAAGCAGGAGCTGATTGGTGAGGGTCTTGCGGGGCGGCTGTCGCTGAGTACGGACATCTGGACCAGTGAGAACAACCTTGCTTTCATGGTTGTCACCGTGCACAGGATCACTAGTGACTTCCAGCTGCGACAGCACATCCTAGACTTTGTGCAGCTGGAGGGGTCACACACTGCGTCGCTGATAGCGAAGACCCTTGAGGGCATTCTGGCAGAGTGGGGATTGACCGAGATGCTGTTTGCCGTCACGACGGATAACGCTGAGAACAACAACAAGGCGATGCGCATGCTTGCAGGGGATCCAGCGGAGGGTGCTGCGGCGAGGATTGAGTTTCCCCTGTTCAACAAAGATCGGCACGTGCGGTGAGTCATTCGACGCGTAGCTTTTAGAGAACCTACGGCGATCTGCCATTGCCGCCGTGCCATGTGCCACCCGTCGACTACAACCATGTTCATGCCAAACCTCCTCTCCCTTATGCTTTTGAGCCATGCTTGCGCAGGTGCATTGCACATTTCATGAACATTGCAGTGCAGGCGGCATTGCAGAAAGATGAGGTGAAAGAGGCGCTAAAGCGTCTGCGAGCGGTCTGTGCATACGTCGGGTGGTCAGTCCAGCGCTCGGAGAACTTTGCACGGCAGCAGCGCATCTTGAAGCGGCGGGATGATGCACCCGTGCTTCGTCTGATTGGCGATTCGCCGACACGATGGGGGTCCACGTATGACATGATCGTCCGCGCATTGGAGCTGCAGCAGGCACTAGCCTTGCTCCTCATGAGGACGGACGTGAGTATTGGTGGTGGTGAGTGTGGAGTGACAGTAGTGATGGGCTACTTTGAGTGTTTGGCGTGTTGTGATCGTGGTGAAAGGGCATGGTGGGGGGCTGGTTTTGTGGCCAGTATGTTGTGATTGTAATGAAGGGTTATGTTAGGGGGCTGGACTCCGGGCTGGTGTGTTGTGACTGTAGTGATGGGTCTGAAGTGGGGGCTGGTTTAGGGGCTGGTGTGTTGTGACAGTAGTGAAGGGTGCTACTCGGGGGTTAGAATGACCATAAAACAGTAATCTTACTCCATTCTGTTTTTCCATCCACCAGCCCCCCCCCCCCCGCCAGCTACGCGAACAGCTGGATGGCCTTCGGCTGACCGACGTGCACTGGGACGCTCTCGTCGAGCTCAAGGAGTTCCTTGAGCCGTTCAACTCCATCACGAAGGCAGCCGAGGGTTCCTTGTACCCCACGGCTGCTTCAGTCGTGCCGCTGTACAACCAGCTACTCGACAAGCTGGAAATCTCGTTTCGCAAAGAGGGTGTCACTCCCCTCCGACAGGCTCTCATCTCTGCAGCCCTCGCCAAGCTGAAGAAGTACAAGTACGGGGAGAATGAAGAGCTGGTGATTGCCACCTTTCTTGACCCCCGCTACAAGACCGTCTTCTTCCAGCTGCCGAAATGGGAGGCGCGCAATGCTGCGCACGTGACAGAGGTGGGGGGGTGTGCTAGGAGCGTGCAGGATGTGGATGAGGGGACGGTGATACGGCTGGTGCGTGCGCGCTTGGCCGAGTACCAGGCGCGCGTGAGCAGCCGCCGGCAGGCTGGAGAGGTCACGAGCGATACTGGGGGGGCCACTGGGCCTAGCAGCGTTACTGGTGGGACATTGGGCACGACGGGTGCTTCTGGCGGTGGGGGAGGGGGCTTTGAGCATTCCATCTTTGACGAGATGGATGCTCTGGAGGCAGCTGCTGGAGGGGGGGCACAGGATGAGGTGGACCGCTATTTAGCCGAGCCGAGGCAGAGAGGTGGGTGCCCGCTGGCTTTCTGGCGGGCGAGGGAGGATTTTGAGGCTTTGAGAGAGATGGCGCGCGACTATTTGGCTGTGCCCGCCACTTCTGCTGCTAGCGAGCGTGCCTTTAGTCAGGGGAGGAACGTTATTACGTGGCAGCGCCACCGCCTTACTGCAGGCCGCGTTCGCGCCGTCATGGCAATCAAGTCATGGATGGAGCAGAACACTAGCGGAAGGAGCCTCAATGTTGCAGGTGCTGCTCGTGTGCTCGAGGAGCTTTGTTACGAGGGTGAGGGTGATGGCTTCTGACTTGTGGCTGGTTTTGACTGTGGGCACGTGGTTGCTGTGAGTGTGGGGGTGAGGGTGTGGTTTTTGTCACTCTAGTCGATTGATTCCACCACGTAGGAGGTGATTGATATATTTTTAATTTATTGGAAAGATATGTAATGATAGATGTGACAGCTGTAGGCCCGTGCAGGTTCAGATCAGATCTCCTAAAACGTACATTGTATTCTTGTTTTTGTGCTGGAGTACGGGTATGCAAACAAAGCTGTCACATTGCCATCAATACACAAATGCCTACCAGCTAACATACCTGTAATGCCAAAAACAGATTTTTAATAACCCAGAATGCTTAAAGCAACACAATTTAACGGGTATGCCCGACCCGGGCTCGGGTGTACCCGACTCGACCTCGGGTTGTAACTACCCGAGGGTTACATAACGGGTCGGGTACACATTTTGACCCAGGAAACCCGAGGTCGGGTCTACCCGACCCGACCCGAATATACCCTCGGGTAGCCATAAACGGGTCGGGTCGGGTCGGGTCGGGTCAATGCCCAAGCCTAGTCTACACATCGTCCAGCATTCCTCCCCCAGCCGTTTCTCATCTCCCCACTCCCTATGCCACGCCCCACGAGTCGACACGACACCTCTCGCGCGACTCCTGTCTCCAAGCCGCGCTTCGCTCCCCACGATATTGTGCTCTGTTGACCGTCGCACCCAGGCCAGTCATGCTCTCCCGTCGAGTTACTTGTTTAGTGTGGCCCTGTGGCTAGTAACACTCCAACTGGTTTAGTGTATACGTGTAACTGTAGTGTTAATCACGCGTGCCGGTAGTAAACGTTCGGCCCAATGGAGGTGCGTCACAAGCCGCGTCCCATTACGGGCGACCTCGAACCAACCAGCCGCAGCCACGTGTCAGATTTCCACGTTCTCTTCTCCGACATACTCGACTGCATTCGCTCGTCAATCACCGCCATCCATCCGCGAAAACGACCGTTACATTTCGCAGCCTTCGCAGCGTTACTGTGTTTACTGATTGTGGCGGCGACGCTGGTCCCCACGGACCTCGAGATCGACGCTGAGACGTACTTCGGGCGCCCCGACGGCGACGCGGCGCGGCGCGACGAGGGCTTCGGGCGCGGGCTGTTCAACGAGACGCAGACGGACGGCAAATTCGACGTGCAGGCCGCCGCCAGGTGCGCGCGGGAGTGAGCGGAAAAGGAGTGGCGGAGCGGGAGGAAAGACAGGCGCAGAGTGATGTGAGATGCGAGAAAGCGGTGTAGTGCGGTTCAGGGGGACGGAAGGAAGTGGGGATGAGGATTGAGGAGATGAGGAAATGAGGGGATGAGCGATAGAGGGACTGAGGGGGTGAGGAAGTAAGGGGTTGAGGGATGAGGGTTTGCGGAAGGAGAGGATGATGCCATCTCTTGTGCACAGCCCATGCCCCTACTCCATACCCTCACCCCCATCCCCGTACCCCATGCCCCCACGCCCAGATGCGCCCATGCCCCCATGCCCCCTTGATCCCATGCCCCCATGCCCCCATGCCACCATGCCCCCATGCCCCCATGCCCCCATGCCCCCATGCCCGCTTGCCGCCATGCCCCCATGCCACCATGTCCCCCTGTCCCCATGCCCCCATGCCCCCATGCCACCATGTCCCCATGCCCCCATGCCCCCATGTCCCACGCACGGCCACCAGGCTGTGGGAGCGCCATGTGGGGTGTGCATCGTTCCGCGCACGCCACCGCCACCTCATCAACCGCTTCAGAGACCCCCTCGCTTGGCCGCCCAACCCCTCCCTGCAGGCACGCCCTCCCTCCCTCCCCCCTCACTGCAGGCACGCCCTCCCTCCCTCCCCCCTCGCTGCAGGCACGCCCTCCCTCCCTCCCCCCTCGCTGCAGGCACGCCCTCCCTCCCTCCCCCATCCATGCAAGCACGCCCTCCCCCCCCTCGCTGCAGGCACGCCCCTTTTTCAGCAACGCACGTCTTATACCCATCCCCATCCCTCTCTTGGTTCACTTGCATTGGCCTTAATAAGTCAGCTCTGGCCTTCCATGAGTCAACCACGGCTTTCATATGCCAACTCGCCTTCATAACCCTGGCCTTCATAAGTCAACCCTGGCCTTCATAAGTCAACCCTGGCCTTCATAAGTCAACCCTGGCCTTCATAAGTCAACCCTGGCCTTCATAAGTCAACCCTGGCCTTCATAAGTCAACCCTGGCCTTCATAAGTCAACCCTGGCCTTCATAAGTCAACCCTGGCCTTCATAAGTCAACCCTGGCCTTCATAAGTCAACCCTGGCCTTCATAAGTCAACCCTGGCCTTCATAAGTCAACCCTGGCCTTCATAAGTCAACCCTGGCCTTCATAAGTCAACCCTGGCCTTCATAAGTCAACCCTGGCCTTCATAAGTCAACCCTGGCCTTCATAAGTCAACCCTGGCCTTCATAAGTCAACCCTGGCCTTCATAAGTCAACCCTGGCCTTCATAAGTCAACCCTGGCCTTCATAAGTCAACCCTGGCCTTCATAAGTCGACCCTGGCCTTCATAAGTCAACCCTGGCCTTCATAAGTCAACCCCAGTTTCCTCTCTCCTTGCACGCCCATCAGGACCCCACCGAGCCATCGTGCAACCGAATGAGATTGCGCCACGTCACCGTCTTCGTTGTCCCCACCAATTCCTCATGGTTCGATGCAGGCAGCATTGAGGGATATTATTTCTGCCCGAGGTGCCGAATGACATGCCAGGTACAATAAATGACATGCCAGGTACAATAAATGACATGCCAGGTACAATAAATGACATGCCAGGTACAATAAATGACATGCCAGGTACACTAAATGACATGCCAGGTACAATAAATGACATGCCAGGTACACTAAATGACATGCCAGGTACACTAAAGTACACTAAATGACATGCCAGGTACACTAAATGACATGCCAGGTACACTAAACGACATGCCAGGTGCACTAAACGACATGCCAGGTACACTAAACGACATGCCAGGTACACTAAACGACATGCCAGGTACACTAAACGACATGCCAGGTACACTAACGACATGCCAGGTACACTAAATAACATGCCAGGTACACTAAATGACATGCCAGGTACACTAAAGTACACTAAATGACATGCCAGGTACACTAAAGTACACTAAATGACATGCCAGGTACACTAAAGTACACTAAATGACATGCCAGGTACACTAAAGTACACTAAATGACATGCGAGGTACACTAAAGTACACTAAATGACATGCCAGGTACACTAAAGTACACTAAATGACATGCCAGGTACACTAAAGTACACTAAATGACATGCCAGGTACACTAAAGTACACTAAATGACATGCCAGGTACACTAAATGACATGTCAGGTACACTAAACGACATGCCAGGTGCACTAAACGACATGCCAGGTACACTAAACGACATGCCAGGTACACTAAACGACATGCCAGGTACACTAAACGACATGCCAGGTACACTAAACGACATGCCAGGTACACTAAACGACATGCCAGGTACACTAAACGACATGCCCGGTACACTAAACGACATGCCAGGTACACTAAACGACATGCCAGTTACACTAAACGACATGCCAGGTACACTAAACGACATGCCAGGTACACTAAACGACATGCCAGGTACACTAAACGACATGCCAGGTACACTGAATGACATTCGCAGTAAGCAGTCACCTTGTGGCGCCTCTTCTCCCTCCCCCCCTTTCCTTGTCTCTCCCTCGAATGGTCCTTGATGGATACAGGCAGGGGAGATACAGCATGGTTGCTCTGACATGTGCTCTGACATGTGCTCCCTCTCCTCGCCCTCACCACCTGCTCCCTTTCACACCACGCCTCGCCTCTGTCCAGATAACGTTCAGTGAGCCCATGGCATCGCATGCGGACGCCACTCTCCATGTCGCCCCCAACACCCCCCCGCTGGGCCGGCAGGTGAGCGCAGCACAGAAGGGGGAGCAGCAACGGGGGGAGAAGCGAAGTAGCGAAAGCAAACGTGAGTGCAGCAGAGGGGGGGGGAGCAGGAGGGGGAAAGGGGGGTGGGTGGGCAGGGCCGTGGAAGCAGTGCTTCCACACCCGCATCCTGCCGTGCTTCCACACCTGCATCCTGCCGTGCTGCCACACCTGCATCCTGCCGTGCTTCCACACCTGCATCCTGCCGTGCTTCCACACCTGCATCCTGCCGTGCTTCCAAACCTGCATCCTGCCGTGCTTCCACACCTGCATCCTGCCATGCTTCCACACCTGCATCCTGCCGTGCTTCCACACCTGCATCCTGCCGTGCTTCCACGCCTGCATCCTGCCGTGCTTCCACACCTGCATCCTGCCGTGCTTCCACACCTGCATCCTGCCATGCTTCCACACCTGCATCCTGCCGTGCTTCCACGCCTGCATCCTGCCGTGCTTCCACACCTGCATCCTGCCGTGCTTCCACACCTGCATCCTGCCGTGCTTCCACGCCTGCATCCTGCCGTGCTTCCACACCTGCATCCTGCCGTGCTTCCACACCTGCATCCTGCCATGCTTCCACACCTGCATCCTGCCGTGCTTCCACGCCTGCATCCTGCCGTGCTTCCACACCTGCATCCTGCCGTGCTTCCACACCTGCATCCTGCCGTGCTTCCACACCTGCATCCTGCCGTGCTTCCACGCCTGCATCCTGCCGTGCTTCCACACCTGCATCCTGCCGTGCTTCCACACCTGCATCCTGCCTGCCACTCTCCTTCATTCGCCTTGCCCTCAACCTCTCTCCTTCTCTGCACGTACTCCACCTCACCACCCTGCTGCACCCGGCTGGTCTCATGGCACTCCCTGCTGCCACTTGCCCTCTAATACCATTCCCTCTCATGGCACTCCCTGCTGCCACTTGCCCTCTAATACCATTCCCTCTCATGGCACTCCCTGCTGCCACTTGCCCTCTAATACCATTCCCTCTCATGGCACTCCCTGCTGCCACTTGCCCTCTAATACCGTTCCCTCTCATGGCACTCCCTGCTGCCACTTGCCCTCTAATACCATTCCCTCTCATGGCACTCCCTGCTGCCACTTGCCCTCTAATACCATTCCCTCTCATGGCACTCCCTGCTGCCTCTTGCCCTCTAATACCATTCCCTCTCATGGCACTCCCTGCTGCCACTTGCCCTCTAATACCATTCCCTCTCATGGCACTCCCTGCTGCCTCTTGCCCTCTAATACCATTCCCTCTCATGGCACTCCCTGCTGCCACTTGCCCTCTAATACCATTCCCTCTCATGGCACTCCCTGCTGCCACTTGCCCTCTAATACCGTTCCCTCTCATGGCACTCCCTGCTGCCACTTGCCCTCTAATACCATTCCCTCTCATGGCACTCCCTGCTGCCACTTGCCCTCTAATACCATTCCCTCTCATGGCACTCCCTGCTGCCGCTTGCCCTCTAATACCATTCCCTCTCATGGCACTCCCTGCTGCCACTTGCCCTCTAATACCATTCCCTCTCATGGCACTCCCTGCTGCCTCTTGCCCTCTAATACCATTCCCTCTCATGGCACTCCCTGCTGCCACTTGCCCTCTAATACCATTCCCTCTCATGGCACTCCCTGCTGCCACTTGCCCTCTCATACCATTCCCTCTCATGGCACTCCCTGCTGCCACTTGCCCTCTAATACCATTCCCTCTAATACCATTCCCTCTAATACCATTCCCTCTGCACGCCTCTCCTTCCAACCACGTCAACCCTCTCCCCCCTTCCCCTGCCAGGTGGGCGACCCGCTGCAGGTCTACCTGGACATGGGGCGGTCTGCTGTCCTCTCAATCCAACCATGTCATCCTCCCCTCCCTCCCCCGCCCCCCCCCTGCCAGGTGGGCGACCCGCTGCAGGTCTACCTGGACATGGGGCGGGCGGCGGGGGCGGCGGGGGGCGGCAGGGCGGAGGAGGGGGACGTGGCGGTGTGGTGGGGGCGGGGGGCGGACGTGCAGCTCACCTTTGCGCGCTTCTCTGACGCCATGCCCAGCGGCAGGCAGCACGGCCTGCAGCCCCTCAAGTTCCAGGTGCCTCTCAAGTTCCAGGTGCCCCTCAAGTTCCAGGTGCCTCTCAAGTTCCAGGTGCCTGTGGGGGAGGGGGAGAGGGGGTAGCTTTTGTCTACCTCTCAAGTTCCAGGTGCCAATCCCTCTCTCGCTTGCTTGCTGGCATGCGTGTGGTCGGTTGGTCAGTTGGTTGGTGCTGCCAAGCTGCCCTGTGAGTGACTGGTGTGATTACCTGCAACTGACTCTTCCTCTCCACCTTCACCCTCTATCACTCACACGCTAACTCCCGATCCAATTCCCATTCCAATTCCCATTCCAATTCCCATTCCAATTCCCATTCCCATTCCCATTCCCATTCCCATTCCCATCCCCAATCCTCCCATCCTCATTTCCATCGCCATAAGCTGTACCAGCCCCCCTGCTGTGCACCAGCCCCCCTGCTGTGCACCAGCCCCCCTGCTGTGCTGGCTGCTCGTGGTGCCACCTCCCTCAGTGCAAGCATGGGCCCTCCCGCCCTCCCTCCCTCCCTCCCTCCCTCCCGCCCTCCCTCCCTCCCGCCCTCCCTCCCTCCCGCCCTCCCTCCCTCCCGCCCTCCCTCCCTCCCTCCCTCCCGCCCTCCCTCCCTCCCTCCCTCCCGCCCTCCCTCCCTCCCGCCCTCCCTCCCTCCCGCCCTCCCTCCCTCCCGCCCTCCCTCCCTCCCTCCCTCCCTCCCTCCCTCCCTCCCTCCCTCCCTCCCTCCCTCCCTCCCTCCCTCCCTCCCTCCCTCCCTCCCTCCCTCCCTCCCTCCCTCCCTCCCTCCCTCCCTCCCTCCCTCCCTCCCTCCCTCCCTCTCTCCTCTCAGGACACGTTGGTGTATTGGCACGAGGACGACTGCCAGGATCCCACGCTCATCGCTCCAGGCACACAGGTATGCACTACGGTGCAGAGCGGTGCCAGGCACACAGTGAGCCCTCTCTCCCTGTGTGTGTGTGCCCTCCAGCACAGTGAACAGCACTCGTGCGCTCCAAGGCTGTGGGGCGCCACGCTGGCTGCAATGCGCGCCTACCTGCCGCGCACTTGTATTTCTCTTCAATGCGCGCCTACCTGCCGCGCACTTGTATTTCTCTTCAATGCGCGCCTACCTGCCGCGCACTTGTATTTCTCTTCAATGCGCGCCTACCTGCCGCGCACTTGTATTTCTCTTCTTATTGCATGTTGTAGAAAAGGAGCTTGTTCTTCTAGATGAAAAGGTAATATGCAACTTGGAGTCTCGTTCATCCTATGCAGTGGACTAACTAGATTCTGCCTAAGTCGTCTCAGAAATTGACGTCTCTGAGTTGGATCACGCCAATTTCCAACTGCTCTAGATCGGCTCGTGCTTAAAAAAAAAGGGTTTCGGATCAACCTGGTTCGGGTTGACCCGACTACCCAAGTCGGAAAGACCCGGCCTAAAACACAAAGATCGTGTATTGGGTCAACCCTACGCAGTCAGAAAATATCCTACCCAGTCAGGAATACCCTACCCAGTCAGGAATACCCTACCCAGTCAGGAATACCCTACCCAGTCAGGAATACCCTACCCAGTCGGGAATACCCTACCCAGTCGGGAATACCCTACCCAGTCGGGAATACCCTACCCAGTCGGGAATACCCTACCCAGTCAGGAATACCCTACCCAGTCAGGAATACCCTACCCAGTCAGGAATACCCTACCCAGTCAGGAATACCCTACCCAGTCGGGAATACCCTACCCAGTCGGGAATACCCTACCCAGTCGGGAATACCCTACCCAGTCGGGAATACCCTACCCAGTCGGGAATACCCTACCCAGTCGGGAATACCCTACCCAGTCGGGAATACCCTGCCCAGTCGGGAATACCCGGCCCGACACGACCGGGTAGGCGTCTCAGCACCCCACTCTTTCGCTATCAGACACACGGCATGCTTGTGCAGGGCACAGAATGCACACTGCACTGCTGGTCGTCCGTGAGCCGTCTCTCCATGTGTGTGTGCGCCCTCCCGCTCTACATGTGCGTGCATCCTAATCACACCAATGGTCCCTGTGTGTGTGTGCTGGCAGGTGGCAGCGCACATACCGACGCACAGCTTTGGGCAGTGCGGCAACAATTTCAACAACTCCAACGAGGACGTGCTCTTCAATGACACCTGCCCCTCCACGTTCGTAATCTCTTAGTATGCTTGCTGCCCCTCCACGTTCGTACTCTCTTCGTAGGCTTGCTGCACTTCGAAACCAACTGATTCCAATAAGGACTTGCTGTTCAATGACCCCTGCCCCTCCACGTCAGTGCACTGCCCCTCCACGTCAGTGCACTGCCCCTCCACGTCAGTGCACTGCCCCTCCACGTCAGTCACTGCCCCTGCACGTCAGTGCACTGCCCCTCCACGTCAGTCACTGCCCCTCCACGTCAGTGCACTGCCCCTCCACGTCAGTCACTGCCCCTGCACGTCAGTGCACTGCCCCTCCACGTCAGTCACTGCCCCTCCACGTCAGTGCACTGCCCCTCCACGTCAGTCACTGCCCCTCCACGTCAGTGCACTGCCCCTCCACGTCAGTCACTGCCCCTGCACGTCAGTGCACTGCCCCTCCACGTCAGTCACTGCCCCTCCACGTCAGTGCACTGCCCCTCCACGTCAGTCACTGCCCCTGCACGTCAGTGCACTGCCCCTCCACGTCAGTCACTGCCCCTCCACGTCAGTGCACTGCCCCTCCACGTCAGTCACTGCCCCTCCACGTCAGTGCACTGCCCCTCCACGTCAGTCACTGCCCCTCCACGTCAGTGCACTGCCCCTCCACGTCAGTCACTGCCCCTCCACGTCAGTGCACTGCCCCTCCACGTCAGTCACTGCCCCTCCACGTCAGTGCACTGCCCCTCCACGTCAGTGCACTGCCCCTCCACGTCAGTGCACTGCCCCTCCACGTCAGTCACTGCCCCTCCACGTCAGTGCACTGCCCCTCCACGTCAGTCACTGCCCCTCCACGTCAGTGCACTGCCCCTCCACGTCAGTCACTGCCCCTCCACGTCAGTGCACTGCCCCTCCACGTCAGTCACTGCCCCTCCACGTCAGTGCACTGCCCCTCCACGTCAGTCACTGCCCCTCCACGTCAGTGCACTGCCCCTCCACGTCAGTCACTGCCCCTCCACGTCAGTGCACTGCCCCTCCACGTCAGTCGCCTGGGATCTTGTGCTCTTCTTCGCCTGGACCACTCAGTGCGTATTACTAAGCTGCAGACCTTGCATGTCCGGCCTGGTAACTGGGCCAAACCCAAACCCCTGCGACTTGAACCTTTGGGGGACGCCGCCCACCGGTACTGTGCTGGTCATTCAATCAAAGGAGCTTGAACTCACACTGAATCGAGCTCACCAAGATTAACTCTCTATCCTTTCACATTGCTCATTCTCTTCTTTAGATACCCCTCCCTCCCCACTGCCCCTGTCCCTCCCCGTGGCAGGGCAGCGCACGCACAGCACTCACAGAAGTCGCACTGCCTCTCCTCCAATTACAAGTTCGAACTCGTTGTCGATGACCCCCGCCTCCTGGGCTTCGTTTCCTGGAAGCTTCTCCGCACGCTTGAAGCAGGTGGGTTTAAAGCCGCACATGACACCTGCCTTGGCATAAGTTGAAGTACTGCACTTATCCTTGATACTACTGAACATTTGCGTAAGTAACGCACTTAGACTTCTTACTAAGTTCAAGTAACGCACTGACACTTAGTACCAACATATAGCGCTTATACCTATTATGACATTAAAGTAGTGCTTGTACTTGTCATTAGATACAAATGTACCAACATATAGCACTTACACCTATCATGACTTTTCCGCTCAATCCCCTCCTAATTCCTGCATCCCCACCTTCCCCTTCCCTTCTCCCCCCCTTGGACTCCCACCCACCCCCCAAGGCACGGTGCCCATCTACTATGGTGCACCTGATGTGGACAACTTCATGCCGCCCGGCTCGTACATCGACGGGAGGAAGCTTCCCACCCCCGCCGAGCTACTTGCCGCCCTGCAGGAGTTGCACCTCGACCCCTGTGAGTGCACCTCGACCCCTGTGAGTGCCAATCATACGTGTGCTGTTTTGGTTAATACATCAAAATACGCACGGACAGTCCTAAGAAAAAAGTTACAAGCAAATGCACACCAGCTTGAGCACAACAGCACCCCCTGTTTCGCTGAACAACTCAACTCCCAACCCCTTGCAACTCAATGTGGAGTGGAGGAGCTATCTTCGACTTCGACCAGACTCGCCTCTTCCAGCACAAAAGTGACTCTTTTCTCCATTGAATAGTCATCGTTGTGTTTTTTCCCTCGTTCTGAATGACGAGTGTGACTGGACTGTGGGCACGTGGGGAGGAAAGTGGGGGGAGTATGGGGGTCGTTGATGCTTTGCGCCTCGACCATCCCCACCGGACCAACCTACCGTGCAATGTATGGCGTATATGTGCTTCCGCGTAAAACTCCATATGGGGATTTTTAACTGTTGGGCATAGACCTGTTGGCATGGCGTACGCGCTACACTTTGGTTGCAGCACTCACTGTCTTCTCCCCCTCCTCTCTCCTCTCCCCTCCCTCCTCTCCGCCACCCCCATGCAGTGAAGTACATGGATCGATTCGCCTGGCGCACGTGTGGCGTGTGGGGTCATTATGCCCATGTGCCCCCCGTTCCATGGCCCTCCACACAGGCTACATGTTCCATGGCCCTCCACACAGGCTACATGTTCCATGGCCCTCCACACAGGCCACATGTTCCATGGCCCTCCACACAGGCTACATGTTCCATGGCCCTCCACACAGGCTACATGTTCCATGGCCCTCCACACAGGCCACATGTTCCATGGCCCTCCACACAGGCCACATGTTCCATGGCCCTCCACACAGGCTACATGTTCCATGGCCCTCCACACAGGCTACATGTTCCATGGCCCTCCACACAGGCCACATGTTCCATGGCCCTCCACACAGGCCACATGTTCCATGGCCCTCCACACAGGCCACATGTTCCATGGCCCTCCACACAGGCCACATGTTCCATGGCCCTCCACACAGGCCACATGTTCCATGGCCCTCCACACAGGCTACATGTTCCATGGCCCTCCACACAGGCTACATGTTCCATGGCCCTCCACACAGGCCACATGTTCCATGGCCCTCCACACAGGCCACATGTTCCATGGCCCTCCACACAGGCCACATGTTCCATGGCCCTCCACACAGGCCACATGTTCCATGGCCCTCCACACAGGCCACATGTTCCATGGCCCTCCACACAGGCTACATGTTCCATGGCCCTCCACACAGGCTACATGTTCCATGGCCCTCCACACAGGCTACATGTTCCATGGCCCTCCACACAGGCTACATGTTCCATGGCCCTCCACACAGGCCACATGTTCCATGGCCCTCCACACAGGCTACATGTTCCATGGCCCTCCACACAGGCCACATGTTCCATGGCCCTCCACACAGGCTACATGTTCCATGGCCCTCCACACAGGCCACATGTTCCATGGCCCTCCACACAGGCCACATGTTCCATGGCCCTCCACACAGGCCACATGTTCCATGGCCCTCCACACAGGCCACATGTTCCATGGCCCTCCACACAGGCCACATGTTCCATGGCCCTCCACACAGGCTACATGTTCCATGGCCCTCCACACAGGCTACATGTTCCATGGCCCTCCACACAGGCCACATGTTCCATGGCCCTCCACACAGGCCACATGTTCCATGGCCCTCCACACAGGCTACATGTTCCATGGCCCTCCACACAGGCTACATGTTCCATGGCCCTCCACACAGGCCACATGTTCCATGGCCCTCCACACAGGCCACATGTTCCATGGCCCTCCACACAGGCTACATGTTCCATGGCCCTCCACACAGGCTACATGTTCCATGGCCCTCCACACAGGCCACATGTTCCATGGCCCTCCACACAGGCCACATGTTCCATGGCCCTCCACACAGGCCACATGTTCCATGGCCCTCCACACAGGCCACATGTTCCATGGCCCTCCACACAGGCCACATGTTCCATGGCCCTCCACACAGGCTACATGTTCCATGGCCCTCCACACAGGCTACATGTTCCATGGCCCTCCACACAGGCTACATGTTCCATGGCCCTCCACACAGGCTACATGTTCCATGGCCCTCCACACAGGCCACATGTTCCATGGCCCTCCACACAGGCTACATGTTCCATGGCCCTCCACACAGGCCACATGTTCCATGGCCCTCCACACAGGCTACATGTTCCATGGCCCTCCACACAGGCCACATGTTCCATGGCCCTCCACACAGGCCACATGTTCCATGGCCCTCCACACAGGCCACATGTTCCATGGCCCTCCACACAGGCCACATGTTCCATGGCCCTCCACACAGGCCACATGTTCCATGGCCCTCCACACAGGCTACATGTTCCATGGCCCTCCACACAGGCCACATGTTCCATGGCCCTCCACACAGGCCACATGTTCCATGGCCCTCCACACAGGCCACATGTTCCATGGCCCTCCACACAGGCCACATGTTCCATGGCCCTCCACACAGGCCACATGTTCCATGGCCCTCCACACAGGCTACATGTTCCATGGCCCTCCACACAGGCTACATGTTCCATGGCCCTCCACACAGGCTACATGTTCCATGGCCCTCCACACAGGCTACATGTTCCATGGCCCTCCACACAGGCCACATGTTCTTCGCACCACTCACTGCCCTCCCCATCCCCCTGCCTCCCCCCCATGCAGTGAAGTACATGGATCTGTTTGCCTGGCGCACATGCGGTGTGTGGGGGCACTACGCCCATGTGGACGCGCTGGGCTTCCGCTCGCTGCCCTGCCGCCTCTGTGAGGCCGTCAGCGCCCGCCACGGCCGCCTCTTCCACCGCCACTAGCTGCCACACCCGCTACCTTCCACTGCCACCTAGCTCCTTTTGCTGCACACGCACTAGTGGTAGTTCCCACCCGCACACCACCTCCCACTGCTCGACACGCTCTTGCACCACATGCACGTGTACTCCCTACTCGCCCCCACTCACTTGGATTAGCTACAACAGCTGCCTCTTCGGCCGACACAAGGTGGTTTCTCTGCTGCTGCCTGGACGAAGACTGCATGCAGCACTGCCGCTTAACCTCCACAGCCCTTCTCTCGGACCTCAGCAGCACTCCTACCACCTTGTTGCACGATCCCTGCTGGCATTTCCAAGCAAAGCCAGCATGTTGGAATCGTGGTACGTGACAGTACGTACAGGGAGTCTGTTCAGGGCCTGGAACTGGTGGCGAGCCACCCTTGATACGGTATGTACCATGCCACAAAGGGTAGACGATTATACAGTATCCTCTGAAAATCAGGGTCCAATAGGGGCCCATAGTAGTCATGGTAAACAGTTGCTCGCTTGCTTACTCCATTCCATTTATAACAAGAAGCTCTTTTGAGCTTAGTCAATGCACTCTCCTGAGCTCTTTTTGAACCAGCAGAGCCACCAGCCAAAGAAACAGACACCCCATTTATACGACACTAGTGTAGGGCCTTGTGTGGGTGGTCCTCTGCTCAGGGTCCTGCAATACTGAAAGAGCTTCCTTTAAACGTCAACTACTGCATCGTTTTATTGTGCCACCCCTTGACAGCCCCCTCTATAGCGCGCTCAATCAAGGCGTGCAGCTGCTGCCGGCCCTCCTCCCTGAGCTGCGCCCTGTAGTGCGCCCTGAGGAACATCTTCTCCGCGTCCACGTGGGCGCATGGGAAGTACCACAGGCGGATGCTGTAGCCGCACTCGTACGCCACCAGCTGCTTCCCGCGCTGGTACCCCGCATCCACCCCCACCTCCCTGTGGCACCCACACCGCCCCTTGTCCACCTCCTCCTCCTCCTCGCCCTCGCCCTCCCCCCCATCATCATCGTTCATCTCAGGCAGTTCAGCCATGCCCATTGCCCTCTCCCGCCCCTGCTGCTCCTGCTCCTTCCCCAGCCCTGCATGACCCGCCTGCCCCTCCTGCCCCTCTTTCTCTACCTGCTGTTCCACCAGCATGGCTTGCTGCTGCGCCTGTTCTGCCTGCAGCTGCCACAGCCGGAAGTGCTTCTTCCGGAACTTGCCGGACCCGCACACACGTGTGAGCAGCTCCATCTTGTTGTCCTGCCCGTACGCCATGCCTGCCGGGCAGGGAGAGCCGCAGGGACACAGGTGGAATGAGGATGAGGATGAGGATGAGGGAAAATACAGCAATTACTCGACTGACTCTAACCCAAGCACCTCCAACTTGTTGTCCTGCCTGTACGCCATGCCTGCCGCGTGTCACACACAAAGGAGGGGGGCTTAAACGAGCGTGACTCAAGTGAATGCTGTCAAAAGGACCACGGCCGCACGGAGTGGGAGAGGGGCAACGGGAGAGCACAGGTGTGGTAGTTGACCGGTTGAGCGTCAAGTATCAGGAACAGCACAGGAGCACAGGGCATGCAGCATGGCACACCCACCCGGCTGGTAGCGGTAGGGTGCATCGGCACGGAAGGCGAGTTGGCTCTCGTGCAGGTGGGGGGCGAAGCGACGCAGATTGATGAAGCGCGAGGAGGCGTTGAGCCATGTGGGCGACTGCTCCCGGTGCACCCTGTACATGGGTACCTGAAGTGGGGGGGGTGGGCGCAGTGCGTGGGGCACCACGGATGGTGCTTGGGTACATGGTCGGGGGGGGCAGATACGCACACACTGCATGGCACATGACTGCGTGGCACATGACTGCACGGCACATGACTGCACGGCACATGACTGCACGGCACATGACTGCACGGCACATGACTCACGGCACATGACTGCACAGCACATGACTGCACGGCACATGACTGACGGCACATGACTGCACGGCACATGACTGCATGGCACATGACTGCATGGCACATGACTGCATCGCCAAGGGGAAGACTATGGGGCATGCACATGCGCGCGCATACGCATGCATGCATCCAAACACAGCTGGTGAATGCACGCATGGCCAAGACACAAGGGGTATGAGTGTTGGGCATGGGTGGAATTCAAGAGAACCTCTTCAAGTACGGACTGCTGGTAGATTATGATTCACTCACCCGCTGCCTGCTGCCCTCACCTGCCTGCCTGTGTCTTACGAAACGCCTTCAAACCCCATGTAAAATGTCAACCCACCTTGAAGACCTTAAAGCCCCTCTTCTCGTGCCGGTCCGCCGCCTGCACTATCAACCGCCACGCCTCGGCCGTGAGGAACTGGTTGCCGTCAAAGGTGAGGACCCACTGCGCCCCCTCCCTGCGTGCATGCTCCAACATCAAGTTGCGCGCCTCGTTCTGCGCTGGGAGCGGTGTTGATGGACGCACGCCATGGGGGGGGGATGGGGGGGTGGGGGAGTGGGGGCGTTGATGAGGATGGCGGCATGGGTGCAGTGGCACGGCACATGGCCCGTGGGTGCAGGGCCTTTCCGCATGACATAATCGTTTGGCATGGAGACCAGGCCAGGCACATCGAGTAGAGGGGGATGAGCAGCGCGGGGCGGGGGAGGTACGGTACGGATTGGGGGGTTTGATTGTGTATGGGAGGCGGGATGGCGGCAAAAAGCAGAAAGGATCCGCGTGAGCAGCATTGGTGTGTAAAGCATTGGTACCAAAATGAGACATGTGCATCAGGCATGTCCAGCTTTCAAGGACACACGAAGAGATCCAACCTGCTATCATGCGCCATGTTCAGAGAAGCACGCAGCATGCTTTGAGGCGCACGGCATGCTTTGAGGCGCACGGCATGCTTCAGTACACGTGAGCACATGGGATGGAGGGCAGGCAGGGGATGGGGGGAAGGCGCGCACCGGTGACAGCAGGGAATGGGGGGAAGGCGCGCACCGGTGACAGCAGGGAATGGGGGGAAGGCGCGCACCGGTGACAGCAGGGAATGGGGGGAAGGCGCGCACCAGCAGGGAATGGGGGGAAGGCGCGCACCGGTGACAGCGGTGGTCCAGAGGGAGCGGTCGAGCGTGGCGATGAGCGAGAGGTTGAGCGGGCGCATGAGCATGTCCTGCTGGGGGGGACGTGTGGTGCCATGCCAGGGTGGTTGGGCGGCACGAGATTGGGTGCATGGTGGCATGATGGCATGGTGAGATGGCACAGCATGGCACACGGTGTGATAAGGTACACCACATGGCACACATGTCAAGCACACAGCACAGCAGGTCACACCTCGTCCTTGACCCCGTGGGCGCGCATGGCTTCAACCAGGTGAGCGAGCGCGGTGCTGTTCACCACGTGGTTCAGCACCCACAGGCGCCGCGCCTGCTCCAGGAAAGGGGGCTCGTGCAGCAGCGCGTACAGCGTGTTGCGCTGCAGCTGCTGCGCGCACTGCAGCGGCGGCATGTCGTTGCCGATCAGCCGGTAGATGAAGAAGCGCGCCGGTGCAGGGGTGGCGGGGCGGGGCGACGAGTGTGGGGTGAGGGGTGTTGAGGTGGATGGGGGGGAGAGCGGGGTTGAGAGGGGGTTGGGAAGCGTGGGGGAGGGAAGGAGGGAGGAGGGCGGAAAAAGTGAGGACGGGACGGGGTGCGGAGGAGGGGAGAATGGGGGAGAGGAGGGAGGGGATGGGGGAGAGGAGGGAGGGGATGGGGGAGAGGAGGGAGGGGATGGGGGATGGAGGGAGGGGGAGGGTGGCGGCAGGGAGGGGGGGCACTGAGGGAGGAAGAAGCGGGGGGGTGGAGTGTGGGGGCGGTGAGGGCGGGTGAGGGGCGGGCGGGTGTGTGCCAGCGGATGTGGGCCGCACTGCCTCTCCGCCCTCCGCGCCCTCTCTGCCCTCCGCGCCCTCTCCGCGCTCCCCGCCCTCTCCGCCCTCCGCTCCACCCTCCGCGCCCTCTACCTCCGCGCCACCAGCGCTGTCACCACCCTTGCTCGCGCTGCCACCTGTGCGGCGAGTTGTAGCAGCACTGCCGGTATCCACCGCCACATCACCTGCTGCTGCACCTGCCACCTCTCCTCGCACCCCTGCATTCACCTCCCCCTCCAGTATCTCCCGCTCTTCCCCTGCCTCTCTCGCCCTCGCCTCTCCTGCTTTCCCCGTCGCTTCCCCCTCCGCCTCCGCCTTCCTTCTCTCCACCTCCTCCCCTCTGCTCAGCCCTCCGCCTCCCGCGCCATCTACCCATTTTTCTTCTCCGCGCGCCCACCCCCCTCCGCCCACCTCATTTCCTCTGCCTACCCCGTCCTTCTCCCCTAGTTCTCGCGCCGCCCCCGCATTGTTATCCGCGCGCGGGGCAGCGCAGGGGCTGAATGCGGGCGCAAAGGGCGCGGGGAGTGAGAGGAGCGCGAGCGCGAGCGTGTAGAGCAGGCAGAGCGCGGCGGCGCGCTTGAGCGCGCGCGGAGGGGGGAGGCGGCGGCGGAGGGAGAAGTGGAGGGCGGCGAGGGCGAGCGCGAGAGAGGTGAGCGCGCCGACGGCGAGGAGAGGGGGGAGCAGCGCGCAGGACTGCGGGGGAGCGGCGGGCATTGCGCGCGTGCGGACTGGTAGGGAGTGGAATGTGCAGTGGGATTGGAGAGTAGCTGTGTTGTGGGGTTTTCCACGATGCAAGCTTGACATGTGTTATTGCTTGGAATGCAGGATGAGAAGAGGCTACAAGAATGTTTAACCTTCCAACTTATCTTAAATACATTCTTAAGCACAAAAACTGTGGTGAACAAACATGAGGGAATTCTCTTAGTAGCACACACTGCTTGTTACTCCTTAGAAAGAATAGCAGTACACTCTGCACATAGAAACAACGGCACAAGACTGAGCTACCGGGTATGTTACAAAGCACCTCCCTTCCTTTCCCCTCCCCATCCCTACCCACTCCGCCCATGCACGGAGCGCCACGTGCGGGCCTTCTCAAAGCCGTTCACCCCGCGGCGGTAGTCACTGAGAGCCTGCTGGATCTCCTCCTCTGTGTTCATCACAAAGGGACCGTACTGCACCACCGCCTCGCCTATAGGCTGCCCCGCTATCAGCACAAAGCGGCACTCCTCAGCGCCGTTGTTCCACACGTGCACGCCGTCCCCCGCCCCCAGCACCACCGTGTGGTGCACCCCCGTGGGCTCAGTCCCCCTCTCCCCGATGCTGGCCGTGCCAGACAGCGTGTAGATGAAGGCGTTCCACGCGGTGGGGAGCGGTTGCGCGAGGTGCGCGCCAGGGTCGAGGCGGAAGGAGAGGTAGGAGGTGGGTGTGCGGGTGACGACGGGGGAGGAGACGCCGAGGGCGGTGCCGGCAATGACGGCCACGTGCACCCCGTTGAGGGATGCCTTGGGAATGTCAGCGTCCTTTAGCTCCTGGTAGGCCGATTGCACCCTGGCAGAGCGGAGGGGGGGGGAGGGGGTGGTGGGGGAGGGGGAGAGGGAGGGGGAGGGGGAGGGGGAGGGGGAGGGGGAGGGGGAGGGGGAGGGGGAGGGGGAGGGGGAGGGGGAGGGGGAGAGAGAGGGGGAGGGGGGGTGGGAGAGGTTGAAGTTGGGGGCTGTGCGATGCCTTGGGGATGTCGGCGTCTCTTAGCTCCTGGTAGGCTGACGGCACCCTGGCAGAGGGGAGGCGGGGAGGAGAGTGGGGAGGAGCTGGGGCGGGGGGGAAGGGGGGGGGGAGAAGGGGTTGTGGACGGTGGACAACACAGCGAGGTGGTCCCTGCAATGACAGCCACGTGCACACCGTTGAGGGATACCTTGGAAATATCCTCGTTCCTGAGCTCCTGATAGGCCGATGGCACCCTGGCAGGCGGAGGGCCAGGAAGGTGGGGGAAGCACAAGAGGCGGGTGGTAGAGAGGTGGTTGAGCATGGCGCGATGGGATGAGAGGCAGCCGATGCACACAGGGGAAGAGAAGGCACACGGAAACAAAAACCCCCGCCCTCTCGTGCTCACATTTTGTCTTTAGCCGCCAGGTTGACCCAGAGCTGCAGCCCGTGGGTGGGGCCCTCTCCTGGCATCTCCGAGTGCACCACGCCCCTGCCAGCTGTCATCCACTGATTGGGCGCAGTAGCACGGGCAAGAGAGCAGGGGCGGGGCGGAGGGAAGGGTGTAAGGTTGCAAGCAGGTGGCACGGAGCCCTGTGCAACACACAAACGCACACACGCGCAACGCACACATGCACACACATGCACACACATGCACACACATGCACACACATGCACACACATGCACACACATGCACACACATGCACACACATGCACACACATGCACACACATGCACACACATGCACACACATGCACACACATGCACACACATGCACACACATGCACACACATGCACACACATACACACACATGCACACGCACGCACGCACGCACGCACCCACCTGCACGTCCCCCGCGTGCAGCTGCCCCTTGTGGCCGTTGAAATCCTCGTGCACGAACGACCCCTGCTCACGCACACGCGCACGAGCGGCAAGCATGGCCATGACATGGACATGAGACACCGGCTCTGAAACACCGGCTCTGAAACACCGGCTCTGAAACACCAACACTGTGTATAAACGAGAATTACAGCCAACGCCCGATGGAAGGGCGGTCGGCTTTTTAGCCGTTGTGGAAAGATTCTGAAGCGAAGGGTGGCAGCGTGAGTCATATTCATCTGAAGCAGGAAGCGACCCACCTGAAGAAGATAAGCAACCCACCTGAAGAAGATAAGCGACCCACCTGAAGAAGATAAGCGACCCACCTGAAGAAGATAAGCGACCCACCTGAAGAAGATAAGCGACCCACCTGAAGAAGATAAGCGACCCACCTGAAGAAGATAAGCGACCCACCTGAAGAAGATAAGTGACCCACCTGAAGAAGATAAGTGACCCACCTGAAGAAGATAAAAGACCCACCTGAATCAGGTAGGAGACGGTTTCAAAGCCTCGGTGGGGGTGGTCTGGAAAGCCTGCTGCTGCGTTCTCCGCTGCCAGCAGGCACGCGGACGGTGCGGGGCGCAGGGTCGCGGGGGTTCAGAGGGGAAAGTGGGGGCATGAGGGGGAGTGGGGGCAAGCGGAGACGAGAGGCGGATGGGAGATATGGTGGAGGAAAAGAGCCTATGGTGGCATAAAACCGACGGTCGCATGGATGATGGAGCAGGTCAGGGCGTGGCGGCGGCAGTGGGGGTAGCGGGGGAAGGGGGACGTGCCGCTGAGGCCGGGGCGCGCGGGAAAGAGAGCGGAGGGAGAACGGGCAGCAGAGCAGGGGCGGGGGGAGCAGGGGCGGTGGGAGGAGGGGCGGGGGGAGCAGGGGCGCGGGGAGCAGGGGCGCGGGGAGCAGGGGCGCGGGGAGCAGGGGCGCGCGTACCTTTGAACTCGTCGAGCATGAGGAAGGGGTCCAGCTGCCGCAGCTCCGGCCTGCGCGCGCACGCACCGCAGGGAAGCACGGCACGGGAAAGCGGGCGGAAGGAAGGGAAACGGAGTTGAAGACGGTGAAGCAAGGTTGCACGTTGCAGCGGCATAACTTGAATTTCCCGTTTGCAAAACGGCGACGTACTCCCTCTCACTGCGACTCCAACTCTCCTCTCCCTGTTCCACTCTGAATTTCTTTTCCCCACCGCTGCACCTGGCCCCACTCCGCTTGCTCGTCCCCCGCCACGGCTCCTCATCTCCCGCCGCCCGACACGCCCCGTATAAACGAATTCCACAGCCCCAACCATCTTCGCCCGTAGGGCGAGGCGTTATAACTCACCTGCCGATGCTGCGCCTGACGCGCGCCCCCGCGCCTTCCGCCTGCTCCCGCGACAGCAGCTTGCGCACGGCCTTCCGCGGCTGTTGAATCTCCGCCGCCGCTGCTCCCGCGCCCGCTGCCGCACTGCCCGCTGCTGCCACTGGAGGTGCGGCGGCAACGGCGGCCATGGCGAACGGGTGGGCGGAGGGAAATAGCTCAGAACGTACAGAAGCTGGTAGGGTGACTCGCGCTACGGGAGTGGCGGCAGGAGATGCGGGAGTGCGGAACGGAAGGCAGAAGGAGCGGAAAGCCTTGCCCTTGAGAAGCGCGGAAATCATGGAGATGCACGAAGTCGATGCTCGTTGCTGACTGGACGCGCGTTTGTGTGGATTTCAACGAAACGGATGGCACGACGTGGTTAAACACCCAGGCGAATAAGTCGCCAGCCATGGCTACCAAGCACTTCACGATCCGCCGAAACCTTACTTTCTTGGACACTTCGCGGAACGTACGCAGGTCATAACAGAAGGCTCCAGACGAAGCCGTCTTAGGTAAACTCGATAACAACGAAACAAATGTCGGAAAGGGGAACTACATGTGTTTCGCTATTGCAATTGACCTCATATCATCGAGATCTGAAAATCAGAACATCAGGTCACTTAGGTCTGGCAAAGTATAGGTTGCTGCGAAACCTTCGCCACCTGCGAAAATGTCGCAAGAATTGGCCCCTATAAATTTTCGCAGAAGCTAAGGACGCGTCACAATTGCAACACTGGGGTAGATCGGCTCCAAACACCGAAAATGTGTGCATCGCCAAGCGAAAAACGTGTTTCAATCTCTGTGAGCAGTGTCGGTTGCTTCCCCGAGCCACTTGGGACAAGGCCACTTCGCGACCCCTTATTCATATAGAAAACCTAGGTCGCATTGCCATTTTTTTTTTTTCCGAATTCAGGGTCGTTGAGTTGTCAGAACCGCTCTGCTCTTCTGCATCCATCTCCGGTTCCCCGCTTCGCTTCTTCCTCGCGACCATCTCCTCCCCTGCCTCGCCTGCGGTCCCCTCGCCCGGCGGCCGCGCGCATCTGACCCTCGTCGCCAGCACCTGCCGGGACTGACATCGCACGCCGGTTTGCACGCGATCCGGGCTCCGGTATATGGGCCTGCCCATGGGCTCCACTGGCCCTGCTACTGTCGGAGCACGTGGTGGCCGTCGGCCGAATGTGCTTATAACGGGTACACCTGGCACGGGAAAGACGTCGACGAGTCAGCTGGTGGCGGAGGCGACGGGTCTGCGACACGTGAACGTGGGCGACCTTGTGCGACAGAAGGAGCTGCACGACGGGTGGGACGACGAGTACGACTGCTTCGTGCTGGACGAAGATAAGGTAGCGACGAGCAGCATGCGATGGACTGGGTCTGGATGAGCCGTACGACGAAGATGGGATTGCGAGTAGGGTTGCAACGCTGTGAAAGCAGAGTCGCTTCAGGGGTTTCGGGGTTTGAGCAATTGAACGGAGTTGTGCTTCCACCCTTGCTCACACGTTCCCCTTCCCTGCCTTACCCTCTCCTCCCTGTCCCCTGTCCCCTCGCACCCCACCCCTTCCCCGTCAGCCTCTGCCTTCCCCACCTCCTCGGCCCCGACTGCACCACTTCCCCACATCCTCCCCATCCCTCCCTTTCTGCCCTGCTCTCCGCTCATCCTCACCTTCTCAGTCCATCCTCACCTTCTCAGTCCATCCTCACCTTCTCAGTCCATCCTCACCCTCTCCGCCCATCCTCACCTTCTCCGCCCATCCCTACCCTCTCCGCCCATCCCTAACTCTCTCCGCCCATCCCTACCCTCTCCGCCCATCCCTAACTCTCTTCGCCCATCCCTACCCTCTCCGCCCATCCCTACCCTCTCCGCCCATCCCTAACTCTCTCCGCCCATCCCTAACTCTCTCCGCCCATCCCTAACTCTCCCCGCCCATCCCTACTCTCTCCGTCCATCCCTAACTCTCTCCGCCCATCCCTACCCTCTCCGCCCATCCCTACCCTCTCCGCCCATCCCTACCCTCTCCGCCCATCCCTAACTCTCTCCGCCCATCCCTACCCTCTCCGCCCATCCCTACCCTCTCCGCCCATCCCTAACTCTCTTCGCCCATCCCTACCCTCTCCGCCCATCCCTACCCTCTCCGCCCATCCCTAAGTCTCTCCGCCCATCCCTAACTCTCTCCGCCCATCCCTAACTCTCCCCGCCCATCCCTAACTCTCTCCGCCCATCCCTACCCTCTCCGCCCATCCCTACCCTCTCCGCCCATCCCTAACTCTCTCCGCCCATCCCTACCCTTTCCGCCCATCCCTGCCCTCTCCGCCCATCCCTACCCTCTCCGCCCATCCCTAACTCTCTCCGCCCATCCATTCCATACCCTCTGTCTCTACCATCGCTCTCTCAGATCTGTTACTGTTCGCAACCATCCGCCCCCCCACTCTTCCCTCCTCTCCCCTCTGACTCTGTGCGCGGGGAACATGAGTGCAGGTGGTGGACGAGTTGGAGGAGAGCATGGGTGCGGGGGGCGTGCTGGTGGAGCACCACTCATGGGACTTCTTTCTCCTTCCTGTTGCACTGCCGTGGGCGCGGGGAACATGAGCGCAGGTGGTGGACGAGTTGGAGGAGAGCATGAGCGCAGGGGGCGTGCTGGTGGAGCACCACTCGTGCGACTTCTTCCCCGAGCGCTGGTTCGACCTCGTCGTCGTGCTGCAGACCGACAACTCGCTGCTCTACGACCGCCTCAGCGCCAGGTGATCACCTCCGTGTCTGTGTGTGCTCGCACTCTCTGTCTCCTCTCTCTCTCTCGCTCTCTCTCTCTCTCTCTCTCTCTCTCCTCTCATCTCTCTCTCTCTCTCTCTCTCTCTCTTCTCTCTCTCTCTCTCTCTCTCTCTCCCTCTCTCCCTCCCCCCCCACCCCCCCCCCCCCCCCCCCCCCCCCCCCTCTCGCTCTGTCTTTTCTTTCACTTCCTCTCTTTCTTCTTGACGATTTTGTTGTCAAATCGCTTGGTGCTTGAGAGGTCTCACCTTGTGCATTCTAACTGCAGTTCAAGTGATCAAGTATGTGCCCTCCCGTTATGCCCCCCTTCCCACTATGCATCCCTTCCCCTGAACTCGTCAGGGGGTACACAGGCAAGAAGCTGCAGAGCAACATGGAGTGCGAGATCATGCAAGTGCTGCTGGAGGAGGCCAGGGACAGCTACAAAGAGTCTATAGTGCACCCCATGCAGAGTGATTCGTTAGAGGATATGGAGAGGAATGTTGCAACAATAAAACAGATGGTGTCACAGTTGGAAGAGGGCGGATAGTTGAATGAAAAGCTTGCAGTATGTCGTGCTTTGCCTTGTTACATTGTTATTTTGTGGTGTAGCCTTAAAAAACGTAGAATTTACAAAAGAGGGTGCACCTGACTAAGGCATAAGTCATCGCCTGGATAGTAGGCGTGTACTATGGTATATCCCATCCGGCACTGGCTGTTTATCTTTAAGGGTGGTGAAAAGGAGACTCATAACATTCAGTAGATAAGAAACTCCAAGATAAAAACACATTCTCTCATCTCATCCTGTTGGAGGGAACTTGGTGGCGGGGCGGTTGAATGCCCCCAGCCCACCCCCATTAGTACAACTTCCTGGCCAAGCAGAGGACACACCTCTACGGTACATACGGTACCACAGTATAGACCACCCACCCCCCCCTCCCCCCCCCCGTTATTCACTTTTCCGCAAGGCAGCCACTCTGTTGAGACGCAGCTATCACTGTTCGAAGAGCTGCATCAGGAAGAGGGCAGCTGACGCAGCACGTGACACTCTGCACGCGACACATTCGTCACGCTTTCCTACGGGTTCCACAACGGTTGAGAAAGGTCTGGAGAGGTACCGCAGCTCTCTCTCGACAGCGTCACTTATGGGAATCGTTCCCTCGTTGTGTCGCAATGCAACGTGCCGTCGTGCATTTCGCCTTTTCAAGCTTCAGAAAATAACAAAACGCATGTTCCATTCCCTTCCCTTCCCTTCGCTCGTTCATGGTTCCCTCTGTTTTCTCCCTTCGCTTTGAATCCCTCACGTTTCCTCTGTGTGCAGGCGTCCTCATCCCGGCGCGTTCGCCTCGTAGCCATATTACTGTCCAGCAGTCCCAGGCCACCAGGTGCAAATAGTAGCTGTGGCTAAGACCGGCCACCAGGTGCGGGAATGGCCACTCTTTTCTCTCTGTCCGTTCATGTGTGTGCGTGCATCATGGTCTCTTCGCGCCTGATCCGCTTAATCAGACAGTTGGGGGTGATTACGCCTTGATATTTTCCAGCCAATTTTTTCTCAGCAACTTCCAAGCACTCTGCACATCCTCGTTTCTTAACGCATGTTCCTCTGCTGCCCTCATGGACCCCGATTCCTTCCTTATCATCCCTTTCCCCACCCACTCGTCCCCCTCCCCTCCCCCACCTCCGGATTACTTCCTTGGATGTAATCTAAGTTTCAGCGAATTCAACCTTCCCATTCCTGATTGCAGCGAGAGTTATTCCGAGACTAGAATGTGGTGACGCAATGTGGACGCACATGGCGGGACGTATCCCACCTGAACAGTCGTAGGGTGTGCGAGCGTGAGACTGCGCAGGGGAGAGATGAGGAGCAGCACAAGAGAATGGAGAGCGAGCATAAGGGCATTGCGAGTGGCAGCAGTGACATGGCGACTGGGTTGTTAGGACACGGACTGGCTATGGAGGGGGAAGTGAATACGATAAGGAGGCTAGATACAGTAAAAGCGGTAAAGAGGCTCGCGGCTGTGGATCAGGCAGTGAGGCTTGACTCACATGAATCGCCTGAATCACCTGACGAATCACCTGAAGGATCATCTGGGACGCCCAAGAAGGCACCTGCATCGCCTCAGAAGCTACCTCCGTTGGTGCAAAGGGCAGCTGGTGAGGAGAAGGAGCGGACAGTAATGGAAGGGGGCGCTCACGGTGATGGTGGTGCACACGAGGCGGGGAGAGAGGAGGGCAGAGGAGGGGAGCAGGGGGAGCAGGAGGAGAGGATGGAGATTGATGTTGTTGAGGCGGTGGTGCGAGGGGCGACGGGTAACATTGATGTGATTGTGCAGAACGACTCCAGTAGCACGGCCGTGCATGCACGTGGTGGTGGTGCTCGGAAGAGCACAGGCTTGGGAGCGGCTGCTGGTGGTGGTGGTGGTGGTGGTGGTGGTGATGGGAGTGGGAGTGGGAGTGAGGGGGAGGGGAGGAAGGCAGGGAGTGGGTGGGAGAGTGCATTGGGGGGCAGGAGGCGGAGCATGCGTGCCAGTGCTGTGCTGGCCATGGCCAGGATTTCTGGTAAAGGGGCAGGCGCAGGTGGAGCAGGGGGGGGAGGAGGAGGCAAGAACAGAAATCCCCATAATCACGCCCACTCGCACACCAAGCCTCAGAATGCTATTTCGGGAACAGGAGCAGGAGGGAGAGGAGGAGCAGGAGTGGCAACAGCAGGAGCAGCAGCAGGAGCAGCGGGGGGAGCAGGAGCAGGTGGAGCAGGAGCAGGTGGAGCAGGTGACATGGACGTGTGTGTGGGTGAGCTAGCAGTGGTGAATGAACCGTTTGAACTCCAATTCAATTCCCGCATCTGCTCTCCCGCTGCTGCTCCTGACTGCACTGCCGCTGCTCCTGCCACCGCCGCCGCTACTGCCACTGCTGCTGCCGGTACTGCTGCCAGTGGCAGTGCTGCCTGTGGTGGCGGTGGTGGTGGGAGTGGGAGCGGAGGAGCAGGGAGTCACTGTGCGAGTCAGTCTAGAGCCGGATCCAAGTCGGGAGCGAGGTCAGGCGGAGGATCAGCAGGAGGGGCAGGTGAACCAGAGTATGGAAAGGGCACATTCCCCTGGTGTGTGATGGATCAGTGGTACTGGGAGTGGGGGCTCTATGGCTGGGATGATAGCTCCCAAGGTGGTGCCAGAGCGGGTGCTGCTGCTGCTGGTTCTGGTGGTGGTGGTGCGTCTGGGGGGAGTATTCTGGGTGGGAAGAAAGGGATAGGGAGTGGGAGTGGGGGAAGGCGGAGAGCGGGAGGAGGGGCCAAGGGCGGTGCGCGTGGGGGAGGAAGTCAAGGGGGGGCGAATGGTGAGGCGAAGAGTAAGGGAGTGGGGGATGTGGCGTGTGGGATCGGCGAGGAGATGGACATAGATGGGGTGGCTGGGGCGGAAGGGAGTGCGGTTACCGAGGTTACTGCGGTTAATGGAAGTACGGGAGTGACAGGGATAGATGTGGTTGCGAGGGAGGGAAGGGGCGGGAAAGGGAGTGATGGGGCGCCAGTTTTAGACGAGATAAGAGAGCAGCAGCAGAAGGAGCAGGGCGAGGAGAAGCAGAAGGAACAGCAGAAGGTGCAGCAGCGACAGCAGTTGCAGCAGCAAGAGGCGGCAGCACTAGAGGCGAAGGCGGCAGCACTAGAGCCAAAGGCGGCAGCACTAGAGCCAAAGGCGGCAGCACTAGAGGCGAAGGCGGCAGCAGTAGAGGCAAAGTACATCCTGCTTGGAGTCAGAGCCACGAAACAAACCGCCAAGGCAGCAGCCCCCCACCCAGGCATGGTGGGCACCCATCCCCCTCCCCCTGCACGGCCCACACCCACTGCTGCTGCTGCTGCTGCTGCACCCACCGTTGCAGCAACTGACCCAGCCACTGCCGCAACTGCTGCAGCAGCCACTGCCACAAGCACCTCCCTCCCACCCGCCCCCGTGGCCCCGCCGCCCCCCCCCTGCTCCGTGTGCAAGGCAGCAGAGGATGCCACGTGCCTGCTGTGCGACGCCTGCGATGCGTGCTACCACCTGCGCTGCCTCAACCCGCCCGCTGAAGAGCCCCCCGCAGGGGACGAGTGGCTGTGCGAGGCGTGCGCGGAGGAGCAGTGGGAGCGGGGGAACGCTGTTGTGTTTGAGGATGAAGAGCTGTGGGCCAGACGCCACCTGGTGGGCGCGGATGCGGGGGGGAGGGGCTTGGGAGGCGGAAGAGGGGGGGAAGGGTTTGCGTGGGAGTATGACTGGGAAGCAGATGCGGAGGGGAGGGCGGGAGGGGCGAGGAACGGGGGGATTGGGAGGGGAGGAGGGGAAGAGGGGAAGGGTGGTGGAGGAGAGAGTAGAGACAGAGGAGGAGAAACAGGAGTGGGGGGACGGGGAGGGGGGGAAGGGAAGGAGGGAGCGGCAGGGAGCAACGGGCAGCAACAGCAGCAGAAGCAGGAGGAGCAGGAGGGGGAGCAGGAGGGGGAGGGGGAGGGGGTGGCGGTGAAGAGGCGGGGGGGCATGCGGCCGTTGAAGTCAGGCCCGGAGGGGCGGGGGCAGTGGTTGCTACGCGGCGAGTGGCTGGCGGCGCAGGGGCACATCCGCGTGGGCCCCATGTTCCAGGCCGTGGTGGGCGAGTGGCAGGGGGCTGAGGAGAAGGCAGTTGCGGAGAAGATGGAGAGGGATGGGCGCGCTGTGGATGATGAAGGACTGTACGTGCTGCTGCTGCTGCTGCTGCTGCTGCCCACCCCTTGCTTCTTCTTCTCTTCCCTTCTTCCCATCCCTTCTTCCTCCCTACTTTCCTGTCCGTTCAATGTCTCCCTACCCTCGCGCTACCCACTCTCGCGTTATCATCCTTTGGAATGCGCATCTGTGCGTTTCCCTCCATGTTGATCAATTCAGTGTTCATCCCTTTGGGCGTCAAGGCTGCGCCCAACCTTGAGCCGACCATCTCTACTGCTTCTGCTTCTCTCCTTCCCACGCCCTTCTTCTTGTCCCTCCCCGCCCTGCTTCCTTCCGCTCCCTGCTTTGCGTCCCTCTCCTCCCCACTACTTCCCCTGCCCGCCTGCGTGCCATCCCTGGGAGCAGCGAGCGGCCTGTGTTTGGGCAGGAGCGGGCGATGAGCGACGAGGAGAAGCAGGCGGAGCTGGAAGCCATGAGGCAGCGCCTGGCAGAGGTACGAACACTGCTGCCAGTGCAGTTGTGTGGCTGCTGCATGCATGCATGACCGATGGGACTAGCAGCTGCAATGCAAGCATACAACCACATCCCCTCCTCCTTTGTCTCTCCCGCTCCTCCTCCTCTCCCCTCCTCGTCTCCCCGTGTTCTCTGCCAGAGCAAGTGGCCCATGGGCTGGCAGCCGCTGCGCAACCTGCCCGTGGCAGCGGAGGAGCGGTGGGAGCAGAGCAGGTCATTGCAAGCATACAACCACATCCAGTCCTCCTTTGGACTCTCCCCCAACCCTCCACCACTTTCTCCTCGTCCCACTCCTTCTCCTATCGTTCCCTGCTCCTTCTCTCCTTCCCCTTTCCTTCCCCCTTCCTTTCCTCCTGCTTCTCCCGTCCTTCTCTCCTGTTCTCTTTCGCTCCTCCCCGGCTGTTCCCCTCACCCCCCAGAGCAAGTGGCCCATGGGCTGGCAGCCGGTGCGCAACCTGCCGGTGTCGGCAGAGGAGCGGTGGGAGCAGTGCGAGGGGATTCTGCACTGCGAGGGCGATGTGCGCGCAGATGGCAAGACTGCCCGCCGGGACGTGGAGTGCGGCAAGTGGCGCAGGTGAGCGGCGCAGAGAGGGGGGCACGAGGTGGGAGGACGAGTTGGAGGCGCGATGATGGAGGGGCGACATGGGAGGGCACAACCCAGGGCGTTGGGGAGGAGGTGGAAAGGGAGGGAGGGAGGGGGTAGAAGAGGTGGGTTGGATGGAGCAACGGGTGAGAATTGATTGGGGTCACTGTGAAGGGACGTGCTGGGCCTGTGTTTCCATGTCAGGGCATTGAGTGGGTTCAAGTGAGAGATCTAGTTTGGAAGTGCACTCTAGAATCCCGTCTCCTTCGCAGTTGCCCACTATTGTATGTGCGTGCACTCCATCACCACCCACCACCACACATTACCACCCATCACCACCCATTACCACCCATCACCACCCACCACCGCCCACTATGACGAGCATGGCATGGCATGGCAGGGTGCCGAGTGGGTTTGAGGTGGAGGACAAGTTTGAGTGCTCGTGTGCGCTCACCTTCGACCCTCACCATGCCGACTGCATGGTGCCACAGGTGCGTGCGCATGTCACTGCATGGTGCCACAGGTGCGTGCGCATGTCACTGCATGGTGCCACAGGTGCGTGCACATATCACTGCATGGTGCCACAGGTGCGTGCGCATGTCACTGCATGGTGCCACAGGTGCGTGCGCATGTCACTGCATGGTGCCACAGGTGCGTGCGCATGTCACTGCATGGTGCCACAGGTGCGTGCACATATCACTGCATGGTGCCACAGGTGCGTGCACCTGTCTGTGCATGCTTGTGCATTCGTGCGCGCGCGCGTGTGTGGGTGCGTGCATGCGTGCGTGCGCATGTGACTGCACGGTGCCACAGGTGCGCGCGCATGTGCGTGTGTCTGCATGCTTATGTGCTCGTGCGCGTGCGCGCGCGTGTGTGGGTGTGTGCGCGCATGTGTGGGTGCATGTCCACAATTTCCTCCTCTTCTCCTCTCCGCTCCTCTCCTCCTCTCTCTCTACCGCGAATTGTGCAACAGGTGCATCTGCCACACCCCCCACTTTCCTCCTTTTCCCTTTTCTCCTCCCCACATCTCAACATCCTCCTAACACCCCCTCCTCCCCACGTCTCCTCCGCTCCACGTCCCCTCTGGGTGGAGCAGGAGCTACCTAAGAGGGACGTGGAGAGGAGGCGCAAGATGATAACTTGTGAGGCGCCTCAAAAGTCTCCACGTCTCCTCCTCCCCGCGTCCCCGCTTTGTTGTGCAGGAGCTACCAAAGAGGGACTTGGAGAGGCGACTCAAGATGATATCGGAGCTTAAATTGCAGGTCCGGTGTCACAGGTCCGGTGTCACAGGTCCGGTGTCACAGGTCCGGTGTCACTCTCTCAACCCTCTCTCGCTAGACTAACTTTGATATGAGACATCTCAAACGAATCAGTCATCAAATTGTAGGTCTGTGGTCAATCTGTGAACCTTCTCTCACTACCTTATGTTAACGCTCTTTTGAGAGTCGTTTGATGAAGCCAACAATCAGGAGACTCTTTTGTTAGTCTTTAGTAATCTCCTCCTCCCCATGGCCCTTCCCTTCGTCTCTCTCTCGCCATGCAGAAGGAGCAGCAGGGAGCGGAGATGGGCGAGTGGAAGGAGCGGATGGGCGAGCTGAGGGCGTTCAGGGCGCAGCACGGCCACTGCCACGTGGCGCCCAGGAGCCCCCTGGGCGTGTGGCTGCAGAAGCAGCGCATGCTGCTGCGCCGCAACCGACTCTCACCCGTGCAGCGGGTGCGTGGCTGGGTGGCTGGGTGGGTGGCTGGGTGGCTGGGTGGGTGGCTGGGTGGCTGGGTGGGTGGCTGGGTGGGTGTTCCTCTTTTCATCCTCCAGTCCAACTCTCCTCGCCCTTACATCCCCTACTCTGTGCTATTCCCTCCTTTCCTCTCCTTCCCCTCCCCCTTCCCTCTCCCCTCCATCTCCTCCTCCTTCTCACCTTCTCCTCCACTTACTCATCCTATTCTCCTCTCCAACCCCCCAACCCCTCTCTCCCCCTTCACCGCCCCCACACCCCTTAAACCCCCCCTTTTCTCCCCCTATGGCGATGACAGGAGGAGTTGCAGCAGCTGAACGTGACGATCAATCTGGAGGATGCACGGTGGGAGGAGAACTTTGCGGCTCTCGTGGAATTCAAGCGCGACTACGGCCACCTCAACGTCTCCAACGCGCCACACGCTAACACTCCCCCTCCTCCCACCGCCGCTTCTGCTGCTGCTGCTTCTGCTGCTGCTGCTGCTGCTGCTGCTGCTGCTGCTGCTGCTGGTGATGGTGCCAGTGCTGGAGCAGGGGCAGGGGGAGGGGGAGGAGGAGGGGGGACAGCAGGAGGAGCTGCTGCTGCTGGTGCTGTTGCTGCTGCTGCTGCTGCTGGTATCAGTGGCGGTGGCGTTAGCAGCAGTGGTGGAGGCAGCAGTGGTGGGCAGCAGCAGGGAGGAGGGAGGCTGAGGCGGGCGCAGGACTTGGCGCGGTTGAGCCAGTGGGTGAAGGCGCAGAAGGCCATGGCACAGCAGCCGTTCAAGGGGAAGAAGGCACTGCAGCGAATCTGCAGGCTCCTGGAGATTGGATTTGTTTTTTCGGAGGGCGATTCCTCCTCTTGAAGGGCGACCATGGCTGTGTGCCGCTGAGTGCTGGTAGCACTGGTGCCAGTGTTATCATGGGTCGAATGACTCGCCTTACTTGTTTCCAAAACAGAACTGAAGTCTGCTGAATGGAACTGATGGTATATTATGGTCGTGCAAATCTGCGCTTGGTGTGGCTGGAAGGGCTGATGTTTGAAAAAACTACGGGAGCAACATAAAGGGTTTGTGGAACTTGGCAGGGGGGAAGAGCAGAAATGACTGGAAGTTTGGATTCACAGGCCTAACTTCGGTGAAAAGTACCAGCCATCATCATACGGTAGGGGGCATATCACATTGTATGCAAACTCAGTATCGCAACTGTTACCGTATGAGTTATCAAACGGAGTTTCGTGGAAAACAAATAACGAAGCTGTGACACTATGAATTGACGATGCTGTGATTATAGAGCGGGTCAGCCTAGCTAGGCGGGAGTCTTGGGAACGTGAGGATGGGTGCCGGTTGGCAAAGGGACACCAAACACAACGCGATGTTGTTTTGGCAACAAGACCGAACGTGCACGTTCAAAAAGTGGGGGTTGTACGCGAAAAAGGGTTGCACTACACCTCCTCCCCCCCCCCCCCCCCCCCCCCCCCCCCCCCCCCCCCCCTCCCCCCTCCCCTCCCCACGCCCCCCCTCTCCCCCTAAGAAAAGTGGTCAACATCCGTGACACTGACATGTCTGCGGGCTAGGTGGTAATCGCGCAAGGCGGATGGCACCCAAGTGTTGTCCTCGCTGGTGCGGTCAATCTGCTCGCTGGTGTAGAAGATCCACGTGGCGCCATGTTGCGTCAAGTCGTACGAGATGCCCCAAAATCTTCGACAGGTCAAGCATTGGTTCATTTATAGGTCGTCGTGCTGATAGAGCAGCGTTTTAGCGGGCAATGTCTGTCATGGCAGCAACAAAGGGCTCCAGAAGGCTGACGTGGAACGCATCGTGCACACGCCAATCGTTGGATCAGGATTTTTGCCGAAAGAGCTGCGCCAGCTCAGCTGGTACAGCTGCACACAACTTCTCAATGTCGTTTCCGTCTGTATTGGCTGCCAACTCGCGCAGATGAACGGCGTACAGCTGCGCACCCCTGTTGAAATGCCGTGTGATGCAAATCACCTTAACACATGTGGACTCAATGGGGTCCGGAGTTCACGTGGGCAGAGTAATTAGCCCCTCGTGCTTGCTGATACTGCAAGAGCCCGTCGTCCAGTCAATTATCGAGCTGGGACGCAACTAATCGCGTCCTATGAGCATGTCTCAGCCATCCAATGTCGTCGCGAGAAACTTAATGCTGAAGTCGAAATTTTTGCCTCACTCAATCCTCACCGTCTATGTTTCCTCCAAAACCGCCACACGCGTCCCATCCACGAGGCGAGCGTCAATTCCTAGTAGACGCATGTCAAGAGGGTTTTTTTTTTTTTTTTTTTTTTTTTTTTTTTTTTCTGTCGCCAGGTTGTGCTGTCAACGAAAATTTTTTCTTTTCCTTTTCCTAACAACCGTGCCAACAAGCAGCACAGGGCAATCCACATAATTATTCCCGTGAGTCATCCGAGTGTGATCGATTGCATGAACACAGAGCACAGTCAATAAGGGGCTTGTCTATTTGGTCCATTTCTGTTCCTCAAGGTGAAGGTACGGCAGCAAGGCCTCATTCGCCTCTTGGTCCAACCCCTGGAGTGCGGTGTAGATGATCTCCTTCTCATCTACTTTGTAGTTTAACTCCTCTAAGGCCCTCACATACTCATCCACCCTCTAGAGGTACTGCACCATGATCTCCCCATCACCATAGTTGCCCTCCATGGTGTAGAACCGCTTCCTCGAGGTGAGTATGCTTAGGAGTCATTTCTACAAGCGTCGATCTTGAACTCTCTTCCATGCTTGGGCAGCTGCTCCTTGCTTCTCTTTTAGGTCAATCAAAGTCTTTACAAGCTCTAATTGGCCTTCCAAGGCCCAACACAGGTCCTGGAGCACTTGCTTGTCCTTGGGGTCCTATGCTTCATGTGCCTTAGGTAGCTCCTCCAAACTAGGCCGTTGCCTTCCGGTTCGCGTTGCTGCTGATCCGCCTCCGCTTCCCTCACTTATGGATGAGCTAGATGCTCCATCAGCCCTTGCACCGACTTGAATAGACAATCCAGCAGATGCCTTTCCTTCATCAGCTTCAGGTCTCCATAATAGGAGGGAATGTCGCTGGCCTAACCAACTCTGATACCACTGATGGAAAGCGCCCGAATCTGGAAAGCGAAGTAAGAGATTAAGTCTGCCGACTTCTGCGAACCATTGCGTGCACCTCACGTAACCTAAAAAATGAGCAGGTACGCGTTGAAAATGTCTTTATCGCATGGTAACGCATTCAACCATCGCTATCGCAATTTAAGTGCAACGGGGTATCCTGCGAAATTACTTGGCAGCCATGAATTAGATCTAGAGAATAGATATATTTAGAGTCCAGATTTCAAAAGTGACGAGTTTGACAAACCCTACAATCCCAACCCTCGACCTATAATGATCCACAACAACCCAAAGTGCCAAACTAGTAGTACCAAAGATGTTGTAGTGGATAGCAAAGGCTTGTTTGTGCTTGTTGGGTGCGAGTTCAAGTCCAGCCTGCAACAAGTCTAGCATCCATAATTGCCCAAGCCCTTAGCCACAACCTGTTGGAGCAAAATATCACAACCACCAACACAATTAAGAGGCGCATCAGCCCGGATCGCTACAGCAAACCGGCCACCCTCGAACCTTCTTTGATAACCCGTTGACATCTTATCAAAGAAAAGGGCTGTTGAAGCTCAATCTCAGCGAATGACCGCCGAACAACATTTTTGGCCCACGAAATTTTTAAATGTAGCCGCGTTCCAAGAACCATCTTATTTTAGCAATTTTGCGCATCGCCGATGAGTGCATGGTGCAGCCTCCAAAGGGTGCATCGTGTGCACATCACTGGTGCTCGCCCGCAAAATCATGGTGCGAAGGTGTCGTGAACCCGGTGCTAGGCTTCCACGAAGCCCACGACATTTTGCATTTCACATGTCCAATCTCAATGTCCGCTTCATCTATCAGCCCTGGCCATCCAGGCTGATGCGCCTGCCGAACTAGGCCGAAGTGGGCTGAAGGGAGTTTCCTATGGAAGAAATTGGTTGGGGGGAGGGACAAGCAAAAGAAAAGGGGCTGTATGGGGGAACGGAGACTGGGCAGATTGGGCGAAAGAGTGGGTACAATGGGCAGGAGAGCAAAAAAACGTGACATGTGCGGATTCAGCATTGAGTCTCACCCGCTATCACACGAAAATTTCAACGTACACTGAAGGGAAAAGGCTGAAAAGGCAGACAAAGTACGAATAAAAGCGTTGAAAAATCTGTCAGAACTATGCATTTATATGCTCTAGGCTGTAGTGGGGCACTTCTTATGGGGTACAACCCAATTAGGTTTTGCATATACAAACCCTGTACTGCTATCATAATACCCTAGGGGTGATTATCATAATACCCTAGGGTCTTAGGGCATGTTCCTACGGCCCCTTGTCAGGGCATCCTCTTATCAGCTTTGCATATTTGTTGTACGCACGTTATAGAACGCCTCTTGTCAGGCTCCCAATACTGGCTGCGTCTCTGCGAGCACATTAAGCTCCAGCACCCCGACTGGAGCCGCAACGCTACCGCGTGCACCAACCAGTGGAAACGGTTGAAGGCCTTGTGGAAGCAGGTGACGAAGGGGGACTCTGCGTCGGGTGGGGCAACTGTCATCAAGCCCCCGTGGTGGGAGTGGATGGTCCTTTTCTATAAGGACACTGCAGCGGCGGACCCGCACGCACTGGATGGTGGCGATGCTGACGACGTTACCGTCGATCCAAGCCTGAACATCCCTAAGCCCGCGAAAACCGACGCTACGACTACAACATGTGAGTTATTCAGAACGGGGATGTGACTAAGTTGAAGTTCACTGTTTGCTACTAAACCAAAGTACACAATCACCCTCGCGATTTCAAACAAGGCATTTCAAATTGTGTACACTTTTTCCACCCCAATGCCTATGTGCCTGCAGGCCGCGGCACACCCCCGAGCGCAAAACGTCGCATCAACGAGACAACAACTATGGCGGCTGCTCAACTTTTGGCCGACACTCTCACGCGATGCTCAGAGGAGGGCGTCTCCCAGATCACCGGAGTAATCCGGGAGTGGATGGCAAGCCAGCAGTCTCAAACTAGTCGCCCGCTTCGCTTCTCCCGCGGACGTGCTGGCAGTGACAACGCATGGCCGGACGCAGACAATGCCACGGAGGGCGACGAGGTTGAGGAGTGGCGGTGCTGACGACGTCGTTTAAGGTATGCGTCATGCAGTGCCATTCCGAGCCTTTTATGGCGTTCCTTCAGTTCGAACGTCGTGACAATGTCACACACCTCCCACTTATACTCGGCGAGTTCTCTGCGCGTCCACCACGGGTCCCGGGTGAGTGAAATAGCCGCCCATCTGATGTTTGGGGTCTTCATGCGTGGCCCTGCCATCCCAATGCCCATATTGTGCAGGATAACCACACAACTGGCGCCGGCGAGAACCCGCCAGAGCGCACAATCGTGACGGCCGGTGAACAGCCGGTACCGGCCCTTGAACTGGCCGATCGTGCGCTCCACGGACATGCGGGTTGCAGATTGGCAGTAGTTGAATGTCTGCTGCCACTCGAGCATGAGGCGGCCAGTCGGAGCGTGCAATGGCGTGAGGCAATAGTCGCGGAGGGGATAAGCTGCATCGCCGACTAGCTGGTATGGGGCGATGTCACCATTTTCCAGTCGTTTGTAGAGGTTGGATTGTATGAACACCCGCTGGTCATGAGCTGTGCCCGGAAAGCCTATCAAATAATCCCAGATAATTCCTCTAGCGTCGCATGTTACTTGCAGCTGTACGGCATACTGTGATTTGCGTGTATAATACTCCGACCGATGCCCTTCCATTCCCCGGATCTGGACATGGGTGCCATCAATGGCACCAATAACCGCT